TGGATGGGGGACTATCATTCCATAGTAACTAAGCTTTTCTCATATTTGATTCCTTTTCTTCCAACAGGGTATGACAAATCTTCCAGATTATGTTACTTTTAAAAGTTTCCCTGGAATGCAGTTTCAGCACATCTTCAGTGCCGCCGGTGATGATTTGCTGGAATTACTGCAAGGCTTATTTCACTTTGATCCTTGTACTAGGTTCACAGCTAGTCAGGTAATTAACTTATCCTATAAATTATTGCTAGTGTGCTAAAAAAAAATTGCTTGCAAAACTGCCCTATTTTATTTTTTAAAAAAAACAAAATAATACCACATCTTCCATGTCTATTGCCCTTTTTGCGCCATCTTCTTGGGAAAGAGCTTGTTTCTGATGTTATCAGTGAGTTAATAACCTTTCAGTTTGCTTTCTGAAAACCAGTTCTCAAGATAAAGTTAAAATGGTAAGTGAAATTTGTAAGTGAATTTGAATCTGGCTGGTGGCTGAACTGTGATTCAGCCAAAGCAAATTGCAAGGCAGGATTTCATCAGCCAAAATCTAGGGCCACCAACTCAAGCAATCAGTCAGGTAAAACAGCTTAAGCAATGGAGGAGAGAAAGAAGGAAGCAAGGCTTGTGTCTTGCTAGTGGAAAGGGGAAGCATGCCTGATCCCTCAGCACTTAGTAGCAAAGACATTTTCCCTTGTCTCAGATGGCAAAGAAGAAGAATAGGCACTGAACCAATAATTTCCCTTTCTCTGAGGCCCCACAAGTAGCTAGAGTGCTTGCAACAGAATTTATAATAAGAAGATGCAAGTACCACTGAATTTATTCCCATATTGTATTTGTAATTGAAAGCATGTTTTTTAAAATCTTGGTTTGGTGTGTTTTTTAATCAACACTAGCAAAATGTTTCAGACCCTTCCTTGAGAACTCCATATGAACAAATGTTTCCAGATAGAGCTGCCTTTATTTTTATTCTTTTTTTAAGACTGGGAAGGTCTAATTATGTGCTGCAGCTGTTCTTGTGGTCTTCATTTTTTTCTCAGGTCACACTAAACATTTTTCCTGGCATAGTACTTAGAAATGTATTTCAGTCTTATAGGTCCCTCCAGAAAACAAGAGGTGTATAATTGCAACAAATATGTTTATTAATTGCATATAGACTATTCTTTTATGATTGTTTTGTATTGCATCGATTTTATACAAAAAAAAATGTTGCATAAAGATCTTGCTGCTTCTGTGAGAATGATAAAAGGAGTGCTATGGCACTGCATAACAAACTGCCTTTTTTGGCATAAATGCTGTATCACAACATCCTTAGAAAATGGACCTACATTGACATTACTTTTGTTAGTCCCTGAAACCCTTCTTTTTTTTTTGCAACCTGATCAGCAAAATCAATGGGGAAACCAGGTTAACTTAACGGCTGTGTTACTAACTTAACAATTGCTGTTATTCACTTGCCAACTGTGGCAAGAAAGGTCATAAAATGAGGCAAACCCACTTAACTAGCTTGCTTAGCAACAGAAATGTTGGGCTAAGTTGTTGTAAGTAGAGGAGTACCTGTACTTTATTAAAGGCACCGTATTTTTCAGAGTATAAGACACACCGGAGTATAAGACGCACCAAGGTTTTGAAGAGGCAAATTAAATAAAAGTAGGTAGGTAGAGGGATAAAGAGGGAGAGAAAGAGAGAGAAATACAGTAGGTAGGTAGGGAGAGAGAGTGAGTAGTTAGGTAGGTAGGTAGATAAAGGGAAAGAGAGAGAAATAGAGAGAGAAATACAGTAGGTAGGGGGAGAGAAACTGTGTAGGTAGGTAGGTAGGGGGATAAAGAGAGAAACAGAAAGAGATAGAGAAATACAGTAGATAGGTAGAGAGGGAGAGAATAGGTAGGTTGGTGGGTAGATAGATAGAGAGAGAGAAATAGAGAGAGAGAAATACAGTAGGTAGAAAGAGAGAGGGATTAGGTAGGTTGGTAGAGAGGAAGAGAGAGAGCAATACAGTAGATAAGTAGGGACAGAGAGTAGATAGGTAGGTACGTAAGTAGATAGAGGTGGAGAGAGAAATACAGTAGGTAGGTAGGGAGAGGGATAGAGAGAGAAATAAAAAGAGATAAGAGAAATACAGTAGATTGGTAGGGAGAGTAGGTTGGTAGGTAGAGAGAGAGAGAAATAGAGAGAGAGAAATAGAGTAAGTAGTAAGGAGAGAGAGAGAGAGTAGGTAGGTAGGTAGATGTATTTATCCATGTACTGGAGAAGGAAATCGCTGGAGCACCTAAGACTTTGTTTCTGCTGGCACAGCACTTGATCAATGTAATTCTCATCAATCAGTTAGAGCTTTCCAAAAGGAAAAAAAAAACCCTTTTTGCACTCTGCAAACCTCCCCTAACAGCCCTTTTTTGTCAAAAAAATTGCATGCATAGCCTTATGGAGGCTTATAGAGTGCTACTGGGGGCTGGAGGGGTCAAAAAATGGCCCATTATTTGCTCATTTCTGCCCTCCCCAGCCCCCAGGAACTCTCTGAAAGCTTCCATAAGGGTATGCACGGCCATTTTGGTGAGGGGAGGGTTTAGGAGGCAAAAAAATGCTATATTATAAGACGCACCCAGATTTTCAGCCTCTTTTTTGAGGAAAAAAGGTGTGTCATACTCTGAAAAATACGGTACTCCATACCCCATCCTTGTAGTCATTCAGCATCCTATACCCACTTAGCTTTTTCAGCCCTCTTTGGATGTTTTTGTTTGGGGGTAAGGAATACAATTATATGCAGATCTGTTCACTTCCTCATTCTTTCTTGTTTAAAAGCTGTTGGTTGTATAACGAATAGCACTCAAAGGAGCTTCTTTTCTATTTCATAGCATATAGGGTCTCCTGATCGAGTATCTATATCTCCAATAAGTCTGTATCTATCTCTGTCTGTCTATCTGTCTATATATGTAGAGAAGTGGGGGCAGGGGTTTCTCGAGCAAGGGGTTGGACTAGAAGACCTCCAAGTTCCCTTCCAATTCTGTTATTCTATGTTTTGGCACTTAATCTAACTTATTTATAATTAATTAACTTAGCTGACTATTTCTATATTCCTGATAATTATCAGGCTTTGATATGTTCTACTTGTTCAGCCCTATATTTTATCAAAATGAAAGTATCAACACAATATTAACAAGTTAACTGGAGATTAAAGACCTGCTATCCAGTGTATGTGGAAGGCACAAAGTTACTGGAGGCTAAGTATAATAAATCTATTTTCCTAGCTAGTCTCAAACAAGTCCAGACTTTCCAAGTCTGACTGCAGCACATGTTGGCAACATGTTCTCAAGTGTACCAAAGCTATTAACTTGCTAATACTAACATTGGAGATCTTATTGCCTTATTTTTGCCTTTACAGTGACACCATTTTCAAGTCCTGTACCACTTCTCATTCTAAATGGAATATATAGAACTGTGGTGATATTCTCTCTTATTACCATTATATTTCTTTCCAACTCATGGAAACTTTTAATTAACCAAACAAAAGTTCATTCAATCAAACATGTTAAATACAGGTTGTATAGAGAAAACGGTTGCTTGAAAGATGCAGTTTATTCTCTTCTTTTGCCTTTCAGGCACTGAAACATGAGTATTTTAGCAATCGACCAGCACCAACACCTGGAAGTCAATTGCCAAGACCCAACTGCCCTGCAGAAGCTTTGAAAGAGCAACAAAATCCTGTTCCTAATTTAAAAAGGAAAAGGATGGATGGAAAAGATCAAGGTAAAATTATGACCAGTTGTTTCTTAGATTTTGTGTTGATTAATTTACCCTGTTTCCCCAAAAATAAGAACTCCCCAGATAATAAGCCCAATCGGGCTTTTGAGTGCATGCATTAAAATAAGCCCTTCCCGAAAATATTGCAACATAGACCAGCCATGAGGTGACTACACTTGCCGCCTCCTGCACTTCAAAAATAATAAGACCTCCCCGAAAATAAGGCTAAGCCCTTATTTCGGGGTTCAAAAGAAAATAGGACCTTGTCTTATTTTCAGGGAAACACGGTAATTTATATCCTGCTTTTTCTCCCAGAAATTTAGGGTTTTTATATGGAGATCTTATTTAATTTTATTTCTAACAGCCCTGTGGGTTGGGCCAAGAGGGGTGCCAGGTCTAAAGTCAGGCACAGGGTCTCCATATCTGAACTTAAACCTGTCAGAAACAATAACTACCATATCAAGGGGCACCCACAAAGAGGGTTTATGAAAGTCGTAATTGCAGCTGCAACCATGTGGTTCAAAGCCATCTATTTTTAGTTATGTTCCATATTCTATAAATATGGACAGAGCTTGATCACATTTACTTTTCACACATATGCACAAAAGCATATTTGACTACATCATTCTAATGTTTAAAATAAAAATATATTACATTTTATCCAAAGTAAGAGAGCAGGAAAGTGGGTTTGCCATTCCTGATTTAAGAGTTCAGTTGACGTTACCATTATTTAAAATGTTTTTATTTAAACATTTCTAGATTGCTTTTTAGCAGAAAAACCTTCTAAAAGACAGTTTTATATATATGAGATTATATAAGAGAAATGTCGCCATGCTCTGCTTGAATGAGATTCAGTTTTGATGAGTTATGTTTCACAGTCCTAAAACTAGAAAATATTTACAGCAAAGAAATTTATTGCTTGGAAACAACCTGTATTAGACTTCATAAGGATACCAATATAAAGCAAGAGAGTATTTGCATTTATTGAATATAGTCTTTTTTATTTAAGATTCAGAAAAGAAATTCCTCATCCCCACAGTTCAGATTGGGAATAGATAGTAAAACCTGTACTTTATATATTCCCAACAATACATAAATATAATAATTGTTTAAAAGGATCAGGACATAGTAATTTGCTAAACTGATATGCAAAAATATGAGATGTGTATTTTTTCCACTCAGGGTTACCCAAAAAACTGGTTTTTTGACAACTATGGGAAATGAGGATCTTGAATATTTCTGCTGCTATGATATCTAAAAAGACCAAATGTGAGAACTGAGAGATGTCAATTAAAAATAGGAGAATGCTATGTTTGTAAATGTATGTAATATGTATGTAGTATTTCAATACATCATAACCATGTATTTTATTACTTTTTTTATAAAAAAATAAAAATACAAAAAAATGGTGTGCTGAGTAAAAATGTCTTAAGTGTAAATACATGAACAGTCAGTTGAATGAACTGGAAAATTATAAATTGCAAACACAAAGATTACAAATTAAATTCTTTTTCCAAATATCCCTGTTAGGCAGAGACAAGGCCAAAATATTTTGTTCTAACAATATGCTTCAGTACATAGGATAAAGCTGCTTGCTCCTTGAGAAACCTGACTTCCAAGCAGAAACTCAAATACTTTGAAGACATGATGTTGAGCAGATGTTGAATTAGAATGTAGAATTAAAAATGGATTGAAATAAAGACCATAACAATTAATAACATAAGTTACCGTAAATCAAAGAGATTACTTCAAAGAGATTAAGAGCCAAGGTGGCGCAGTGGTTAAATGCAGCACTGCAGGCTACTGCTAGATCAGCAGGTCAGCGGTTCAAATCTCACCGGCTCAGGGT